GGCAAGGACCGGAAGGCGGACGAGTTCTTGCTTGACGGATTGAAGATGGCGAGTCTTAAACCCGAGTCGCACCACAGTCCTTTGCATAGCACATCAACGCTACTGGACCAACAGCAAGAGCTGAGTCTCGTCATGCGAGTCTTCCTGATATTCGCGCAGGTTGGACGCTTCGAGTGGGATACAGCTCGATGCGAGATTGAGGCACTCCGAAAGGACGGCAAGGTGTACTCGGGTAGCGAGCAATGGAACGTCCTTCTATACCTGGAAGCTCTCTGTCTGCATGGACTCGGCGAACTGCGGTCTGCGTTAGAACTCTACAACTCCACCTACCTCACCTTCGATTCCGACAGCAAGGCCACTGCGGCAGACAAAGACCTTCGTGCCCTGGCAACGCTGAACAGCATCCTGATCCGCCGCAGCTTAGGGGCCCCAGAATATGCCAACGCCGAGCGACTTCTCGCTAAAGTGGAGCCCTACTGCCTGGGCCATCCAAACAAAGCACTGTACTCCGCCGTCAACCTCGTCAAAGCCACAGCACAAGACACGATCCTCAAGACCAAGCAGTTCCTGCACTTCGCCGTCCATGCTTCGAAGGAGGCCCAAAACAACTTACTCATGTGCATCCTCATGAACATCATGACCAGCCGCTTTTTCGCTCAAGCGATCGTCGGCGAGCAGGCGGAGAACGGTGCACACGCTGCTAGGACGCTGGCGAAGCAGGGGAAGAACACACTGTGGGTGTGTGTAGCGGACCAAATGTATGCCGATATCAAGGAGAGGTGTGGAAAGTCTGCAGAGGCGGAGGTGGCAAGGAGGGAGGGCGTGGCGTTGCTTGAGGATCTACCCGAGTCGTTGAAGAAGTCACTGCAGAGCCATAACGGCCTGGCTCCTTCGAACGGCGGTATGGGAGTGGCGCCCTAGGAGGATGCACCAAGGCGATGTGCACGCGATCACTTCGGGTATCGTGCTGGAACATTGCTGGCGTCCACTATGTATTGCTTGCGGCGATGCGAACTGCTCTGCTTCCCGATTCGCCCTAGAAGATGTACGCATATTGTACTTGCTAAGGACACTACAGCATATTGTTACTAGAAAGAAGCTACCAAGATGAGGTACCACCTCGACCTATATCTAGAGTACTGCACTGAAGTCAAGTCAGCCGTTCCAAAGGATCTCGGCATACGGGGACCGATCGCGAACACTGCCGGTTGTTCCGAAAATATTTGCTGCTGATGTCCAGTTCTCGACGTTCTGACGTTGCTACTGTCGTGTCACGAGGCACATGATGTGGCTCGCAAATCGACAGTGTCCGCGGGAACGATTGTGGACTCGGTCTTGCCACGTGGTCTTCCTCGCTCCGTCGCGAGAACAATATACAGTATGTCATCGAGCTGCATCGCCGTTGGTGGTTTTAGTCCGCGGAACGCTAGTCTAGGAAAGCTTGGTATGCGCAAGGTTGGAAGCTGCATCTCGGTGTCGTAATCCTTGGAGGACGATGTCAAGAGCAGTTGCACAGCGTGGAAGAGCGTTACACTCGACATAAAAGACACAATACCATTGTCAACCTCTATATCAGCAGCCACAGACATCCAATAAAGCTATTCTTAGACGTCATTCGAACAGGAATCATCTCAGATCGCAGCAAGGCGGCTGTGCCGGACCTTGCCACGCCTCGGGTCCAAGACTCGACTACATCTCCATCTTACGTCTGCAATCCTACGTCTGCTCTGAGCCGCGTCATGGCCTGAAAAGAATGGAGAAGCCAAGTCCAACATAACAAAACTACGCACGTCGCCGCTCGTTTAGACGAACCTCTACTATTCGCAACATTTCAGCACCCTAATCAGATCCAACCATGCGGACAACCACTTTCGCCGCGCTTGCAAGCGCCTTCGCCGTTTCCACGACCGCAATCAACTTAGCTCCACGAAGAGCTGGAGTCGAGCCAAGAGTAGTACAGCACGAGATACAACGCCGCCATGTCGCAAACCCATTACAGCAAGATCGTGATCGAAGGATACGCAAGAGACAAGTCTCGGGCAAAACCGTTAATGTTCCGCTTACGAACGAGGAAACATTGTACTTCATGGACATCAGCATCGGCACACCTCCACAAGACCTTCGCATGCACATTGATACCGGAAGCAGTGATCTCTGGGTCAACACGCCATACTCGAGGACATGCGAGCTAAGAAGCGGCCCGTGTGACGCGGCTGGAACATACCGCGCCAATTCCAGCTCGACGTACCAATACATCAACTCCGACTTCAACATTACATACGTGGATGGGTCCGGCTCAAGTGGCGACTACGTCAGCGATACTGTGAGCTTCAACGGTGTCAATCTGCGCAATCAGCAATTTGGCATTGGGTACAGCAGTACATCTGCCCAGGGGATTCTTGGTATCGGCTATCCGGCGAACGAAGTTGCCCTACAGTATGGACACCAAGCTTACCCTAACATCCCGGCCAATCTCGTCCAGAAAGGCTACATCAGCACACCCGCCTACAGCCTCTGGCTCAATGATCTGGACGCGAATAAGGGTTCCATCCTGTTCGGTGGCGTTGATTCTGCCAAGTACACCGGAGAGCTGCAAAGCCTTCCAATCATCCCGGTTGGTGCTGGCGCTGTGGGCATTTATGCGGAGTTCACTGTCGCTCTTACCTCAGTTGGAAATGACGGCGATTCCACTTCCTTTGCAAACAATATTGCCATCGGCGCTCTTTTCGACTCCGGCACCAGCTTGATGTACCTTCCCAACGACATCGCCAAAAACATCTTCGACCACGTCGGTGCGCAGTACGATAGCTCTCAGGGTGGTGCTTTCGTCGACTGCTCACTCGCGGACCAAAATAGCACGATCGACTTCACCTTCTCCGGGCCGACCATCCGTGTCCCGATGAACGAGCTCGTCCTCGTCGCCGGCGTCCAGAACAACCAGCCAGTCTGCATCCTCGGCATCGTACCGTCCGGCAGTAATAGTGCACTGCTAGGCGACACATTCCTTCGATCAGCCTACGTGGTCTACGACATGGCTTCCAACCAGATCTCGCTCGCGCAGACGGACTTCAACGCCACCGACAGCAATGTGCAGGAGATCCAGCAGAACCGCGCCGTGCCTAGCGCCACAGTCGTGCAGACCCCAGTCACTTCGATCGCGGTAGCTTCTGCTGGGGCGAGGATCGATACTGGCTTTGGTGGTGGTGGCAGCAGCTCGAGCAGTAGTGCTGCTGCTATGCCGATGGCGACGAAGGGTTCAGCCTACAATCTCGCCATGCTTGGGGCTGCTGGAGCGGCTATCCTGGCCCTTTAGGATGGTGCGGCACAATGGATGGGTTTTGATGTTTAGCGATGGCGTTAGCGATGGTATGACATGATCATTTGTACAGACTGGGTGGGAGTCATTGCATGGTGTTGCTAGACGCATGGACGACTCCTCAGGGGTGTAGACACGATGTATGGTTACGATCGCTTATGTACAGACATCTACTGCTGATTCAATCTTCCAAGGTGGGAACGGGAGGTAAGAAATGAAGTTACTGCCTGTTTTAGATTTTGCAGGTGATCCGCCAAGACAAGCGGCAGCCTTATTCTTTGTTTCATTAACCACAGACGCACCAGACGCCATATTTTCGCTTCCAACGGTGAGACGTCTCTCGTGTCGTCTCTTCAATCCGCAGCACTGTCACAACCACCATCGCTCTAGGTCAAGCTCGGCATCGCCTGCGAGATAACTTCGCCCACGATACCTCAACAGCGCATACAGGCAATAACGATGGAGCTGAAACGACTACTCGCCGGTATCCGGACGCGCCACGCTCTTCCTCCTCAAACTCCACCACCTCCGGCCTCGTACTTCCACCCAACGATTCCAATGCGCGGGAGTCTGCCTCGGCTGAGAACAGCATGGGGACGCCGACCCAATCCGTATGACGCTTTCCCGGACGACGAGTACCGCCGTTATCGATACTGCCCGGTACTTAGGAGATTCCTGCCGGCTCCTTATAAGATCGACTATGGAACCAAGATCCCACTGTGGGAGGAAGACACGGCATGGCATCATCATTAATCTCAGCCCCGGTCTTTCCTTTGAGGAGAGCAAGAAAGTCATCGGATCAGTGCAGGCGATCGTTGAGAAACTGGCGGGTTCACGTATGCCTGGTCTTCTCGAAGTGAGATGTATTCGGGAGTGTCCTTTCGCCAATCCTGTTGGCGTTAGTGGCTACATTCGCGCTTTGGTTCCGAGCGAGACCGAGTGGCAGTCGTTTGCACGCGCAGTTGAGGAGAGCAATCCTGGTCGGATCTGTAGTGTCACACGAGACGGACTTGTTGAGGATTGCGAGTTGGCCGACCGAGACCAACACACCGCGTCCGTCACTATCGCGACTGATGAACATCAACAATCTGCTTCGAGGCCAGATTCTACTCAGTCAGTCGTCCGTCTGCAGACAAGGCAGTCACCGCTCCGACGAACACAACTAGGAACGGGGTCGCTCACGCGAGGCTTTGATACTGCTCGACTGTACCATGCTGCTCACGATAACCAACGTCTTGTATGCTGCAAGTTCCTGCCTTCACGGTCAGTACGGCCGCACTTTTGGACCTTCACTTCCACAAGCCAAGCATCCTGATCAGATCTGGAGCGTCGCACTCCAAGCTTGGATATCGGAAAACAGACTGGGATGAGGTGGTGGCTTCATGGCGGGTTGGAGTGCTTAGAGGGCATACTTCCTGTTACGGTGCACCGGGCTTGCACACCCATGCCACAATTGAGAGACATCATGTTGGGCTTCAGCTACATCGAAGGGGACTGCTTTCGCAACGATGCTGTGCTGCTACCATCCTCCACTATGTCTTGACACCGACCCCAACACCGTCAAGTATACAACCCAGCAGCTGCAGCTTGCCAACACTCGACTGCACAATGCACCCACCAAAGACCGAACTATCTCATCAAAGCCATATAATGCTTTTTGGATCCTCTCACCTCATGAAGAAAATCCTGGATAGTTCGATTGGTCAGAATGTGCGTTTTCCGCCCTCATCCGGCGATATCAGCTGCTGACATAGTTTATAGGGCCGCCCGTCTCTCGCAACGAACGAAGATCGCGAATGATGGAGGTTCGAGTCCTTCTCTGGGAGATTCATTCTTTTGTAGTGATAGTGTTGTGCTCGCTGTCTTGTATCGCCTGCTGAAGACCGAAGCATGATTTTTCTCGCTTTCAGTGTCACAAATACTGCTGAACGTTTAGCAAAATATATCCCAGTCATTTCGACAGCTCAGCAGAAAGCCAGCATAATCAGTACAGATATCATGGCGACCAGAACGTATTGCAGCATCGGTTTTATGACCCCGTCCAAGCCTACGTCGAAGTAAACATGAGTATTTCTCTGCGGGAAACTCGTGCGCCATGTCTGTGAGTGTTCCAGTGCACGAGACAACAGTAGAAATGCTGCTTCGTCGTCCTGAAAAGACACCGGAGCTAGAGTGATGGGTTTCTTGTTGATCGTCCAGCTCAGTCGCGGCTGTCGAGGATGAGATGAAGAGAGGCTCCTCTTTGCAACCTCTAAAGGAGTCATACCGCAAGCCGCTCGACGGCCCACATCAACTCCGGCTGCAACCAGAAGTTCGGTGAAGTTGACCACTCCTGGTCCACGGTCCAGTGCATGAAGTAAAGCAGTCCAGCCCATCCGATCCTCACATTCCATGGCCAATCCGTACTGGAGCATCAGCTCGAACATAGGTTCGTTGCACTTGATGGCCTCGATGACTTCAGAGCCATAGACTTTTTGCTTCCAACTTTTCGGTAGAATTCCGTCACGGCGTCCGCAGCCTGCGTCCAGGAGGTAACGAAATATGTCTTCTGGTTGTTCTGTGCAGATGGCTCGGAACAAGACGTCGTTTCCGTTGAAGGTATCGTTTAGCAGTAGCTCTGGAAGAATCCACAGTTCGGCTGCTGGGTCACCGTGATACTCAGGCCGTTGATGGCGTAACCCATGCCAACGCTCAAAAAGATCATCGATGGGTCCTTCGTGGTCGTCGCTCATGGACTTTGCCTCGACATGGATTGATGCACCGTTCCGGACCAGCATTTGTAGGATTTCAAGACTTCCACTCCGTGCAGCAGCACGAGCATAGGTCCTTGCATGGGAGACCTGGGTTTCGTTCACATCTATACCGCCCTCTAAGAATGGCCGGATCATCTCGGTAGTGCCATTGGCGCACAAGGACTCGAGGAACGTTGTACGAATAGACCTGTCAGCCCTCTGGACCTCCAAGACCTGGGTGCTTGTATGCAGTTGTGCAACCGTTGCTGTTGCCTGGCTCCGAGCTGTGCTGAGGCTGGAAGCTGTACGGTAGCTTGCAAGTTCAGCTTCCAATCTCGCCTGGAACTGTGGTCGGGTGCGGGCTACTGCAGCAAGAATCCATGCATCTGAGGAGGCCATTTCCTGAAATGTGAACAAGTCCACGAACCTGTACACAAACTGCTCCAGAAAATCAAGCCCGGCAAAGGATTGGAAGATCAGCGAACAAGGAGCTTGTCCAGAGGCATCGCATAGCGACAGATCCGTCCCACGTTGTATGAACGTTTCAGCTATCCGGCATAATCGAGCTCCTTGATCGTGGGAATTCTTCATGAGGACGCAGCAGTAAAGAAGAGGAGTCCTGTAGGTGAATGAGCATGCGTCAAACGTGTTCGCGTAAGACTTTAGGAGTAGACCTACCTGCCGCTTGCATTTCGATAATTCGGGTCGGCGCCATGATCGAGCAGGAGATTGCACAGTTCTAGCGCCTCTTCTTCGTGGCCGGACATGTAGCTGAGTACGACCTCCTGTTCCAGATCAGCTCGTGATACTTGTACCTTACGTCAAACTTACGTGAAGTAGAGAATTGCCCCATGGAGGGACAATGTCCGTAGTGCGGGCCTTGCCCGTCTCCAGAAGCCGGCATATACCTTTCACGTCAGAAGATCTGAGGTACCCGAGTAGCTCGGGGTCGTCGTTGTAGGTAGCGTAATCTAGACCGTATGAAACGCTGCTGGCACGAAACCTCGGGAAAAGTCGGTCGATAGATAGCTTTATGGCGGTTTTAGCGATCCATGCAGCTGGATAGAGGTTGAACGAGACAGACCACCTTGTCAGATGTGCAGTTTGTCCGGCCAGTGGTTCGCCACTACCCTGCTCGCTTGATCTGCGTGTGTAGACTGTGAGAAGTCCGATCGGGAGCTTGTGTATTGAAACGGTCCACGATGCAGTTGCCTTTGTGTCAGTGCCGCCGATATGGCGCATGCTTTTACTGTTGTCACCAGTCTTTCTTATGCTTGAACGACATCGTCCTGCACCTTGTGCCAGCACCATGTCTTGGTCCTTCCGTTTGGTGATAACGTTCTCACTCTCAACTTCGATGCAACCATCGGAGATTGGAAGTGTCTTCACCATCCCCAGTGCCAATGCTTGCCGGCTCGTACAGTATCGCACGTCAATGTCCTGGAGGTGAGCCGCAATCCCGTCTGCGAGACCCCCTTTGTTTTGGTAGTGCTCGATGAGTACTTGTTTTGCCACACTCTCTCGTTTGATAGCTGGCTGGATGCGTTCAACAGTATGAGATATGTGTTCGAACTTTGCAGTCTGTTGGCCGATCAGGCGTGATACGCCTCGTACCGTGGTGCTGGACTTGTCAGAATTGACTTCAGTGGTCGATAGGCATAGACTTACCTCGTAGCAACGTTCAGCATAAAATTTGCAGAGTCTATGTGATCAGAGAATATCCTCTCATAATTGGCCAGTCCTTCTTTTGCGAATACCGCTTTCAAGCGAGTCAAGATACGTCGAGGGTCTCCTGACTTTCGAAGCAGCTCGATCTCCAGTTTGCTGACTTTCTCCTCGAAGGTCTGCAGGTCATGCCGCATGGCCTTGCTTTGCTGACACCAGAATGCTTGCACATCTTCGTCTATATCGTGAGCTGCGGAATCGTCTTCGAGCTGCTTTATCCGTCCAAGTACCAGTGCCAGCCTGCCGACCAAATCGGAGAGTCGACCCACATTCTGAGGTGCATCAGTGTATTCTTTGCAGAACTTGTGGAGGATTTGGCAGCTGTGGATAACGGCACCAGCGAGAGATGCGATACTGCCTGCAAAGCCGACAAAGGCGACCGCGGCCGAAGCGGGCTCCATGGTTACAGCATGAGTGCTTGTTCGGTCCAGACCGGTAGAAGTACCATCCAGTTCTATCGAGATGCGCCACCTTGTATGGGAAGAAAGATGTCGGTTAGTCTGATTGCAAGGGTATCGCAAGGCTGAAGCAAGGCTTAGTTACTTCGGCTACAGTAGAGGTGCACCCGGAACCAGCATCTAAGCGCTTGTGGCTTGGAGGCTATAGACTACCGTGTTTCAGCTTTGTTTCGTCAGTGCAAGCACACCTTTGCGTATCGAATGGTCGTTTTGCGTACAAATCTGGAGGATGGGGGACTGATGAGGTTCGCTGCGCACACGTTGGGGCAGGTGGTCGACCTATCAAAAATTGACATCTTCCATCTACGGCGTAAGCCCAGCTATCGGGAGCCTAACCACGGCCATATCTGAGGTAAAGTATGCTTCGTCAACTGTGAGCGAGTAGTAGATCCGCAACAACGCAGCGATGGTCACTGCAGAATACCCCGCCATCGAAGACATTTGGCAAGACCGAATAGCCATCGACACGCCAATCTTTGTGCCCATTGCCAGTCCCGGATGTGGATTCGACCGCCGTTTCAGTACCAACTCTCGACTTTGGTCCGACCCAGATGAAATCGATCCGACCTATCTCATCCTTATCCTCGTCGGTGTCTGGCTGAAATCCGGTAAACGTCACTTCGTCTCCAAAGCGTGCGGTCTTTGGTAAGGCATCATGCGTATCTACCATTGCGTCGCTAGCGAGAACTGCTTTGTACGCTTCTTGAGTGGGGAAGGAATTGAAGTCGCCAGCAAGAACAAAATTCAATCCTGTGCTGGCTGACACCTCGTCGTGCTTGGTCGTCCATTCCGAGCATATGCGTTCGATTGTCTCGATGATGATGGCGACACTTTTCTCGCGGGCCACCGAGCCGGCGTTGTCGAGGTGCGTATTAAAGGCAGCTATACGCTGTTTGGTAGCTTTGTGCTCGAAGACGCCTGTGGTTAAGATCCTCTCGCTTCCTGCATCCCAGCCTTTGCTAGGTTTGTCCGGCGTCGGGCTTAGCCACGTGTTCTCGTAGTGTAGGAGAGTGAAGAGCTTTGTTGGGTACAGTATAGGACTGTATTCGCCTTTCTGTTTGCCGTCTTCTCGTGCAACGCCTATATGGCTCCAGTAAGGACCTTCTGGCAAATTGGAGGAAGCTGACAATTCAGACTCGGTAAGCTGGTTCAGGCCTCCAAGAATATCGTGCAGTTGGCCATGCAGGACTTCCTGCATGCAAATGAAGCTGGCTCCCGCAGACTTTTTCAATATCCGTTAGCACACCTCGACGGAGTATTTGAGGAGGCGGACCGTAGGCTCCACGACTGCTCTCCATTCTTAGAATTGCGATCAGAGAGAACTCACATCAACTGTATTGATCCCATCGAGAGCTTTTGTCGTGAGACCTTGGTTTGGATGTTAGTTCTGGTATCTGGGAAACACGAATTTGCCTTACCAAGCTGGCTCATGATCATAGGCCTTCGTTCGCTCCATGGTCTTTCGTTCTTGAACAGTGAGTTGGTAGCGTAACGAATGTTGTGAGTGATGACTCGCAACGGTAGTCCGTCGTGCATTGTGCGGGCTGTAGGATCCGTAAAGGCCCACTGCATCCCGAGAAGTGCTTTGAGCATTGAACCAGCGCTGCTCATAGTACTGCTTACTGCAGTTCTTGGTAAGGAAGGTATTGGGCGGGCTCACAGGTATTGGGCGGGCTCAGAGGCCTTTCTAAGACACTATTTAGCAAGAGCACGATGTCGTGAGAGCGGTTGGACTGCATTGGCAGAAGAAAGCTGCCGCCTCCGAAGGCTATGAAACCATGTGCACTGCATTTCTTGACACGGCGTCGAGATGTAATGCAAGCACCCCTGTCACGCTGGTCCAATGAGAGCGACAGCTGCGCCCCACTCACAGCCTGGTGAGGCAGGCCCTTGTAGGTGCAGCATATATGG